TAATGCCCCGTAAAAAAAAAAAAAAGTAGTAGCAAATGGCGCCGCAGTTGTGGCCATTCGATTTTTTCGCTTCTCTTCTCTTCCTCCTCCCACCCCATTTGTGAATTTCACATCCAACCACATTTTTCAACCTTTCCTAGTATCCTATAAAAAGACTCTTTAATAAAGAGTCTGAGGTACTAGAAGTCAACTTTCCCACGCAGCGAACCTCCACAAGTTCGCTAAATCTACCCCACCACACCGATCACAGACGCCTGTGATCCTTTCTATCAAACCGCAAATATGGCTGACAAGGGTCTTGAGGATCTCGCCGAGGGTATGCATTACATTCCTGTCACTTTTTGATTAAAGATATTTTACTTTGCCTTCGCTGGAAGTCGCAACCACGAGCGCATTCAGTGCTGGGTGGCGTCAGATACGGAAGGCGCGATATGAAGATAGAGGCTAATATTACATTTTTCTTGCAACAGGGCAGATCGAGTCTAACTACGATGAGGTCACCGACTCCTTCGACTCCATGGACCTGAAGCCCGAGCTGCTTCGCGGTATGTACCCCCTTCGTCTTATCAGGTGGGGTTGAAAAAAAAAAAAGATTTACTAACGGTGGGATACTAGGTGTCTACGCTTACGGTTTCGAGCGTCCCTCCGCTATTCAGCAGCGTGCCATCATGCCCATCATCAAGGGTGAGTTTTGTTTCATTCCAAACCCACTGTTGAAATTTGCGCCTAACCTGTGAGGTCAGGCAACGATGTTATCGCCCAGGCTCAGTCCGGTACCGGTAAGACCGCTACCTTCTCTATCTCCGCCCTGCAGAAGATCGACCCCGAGGTCAAGGCCTGCCAGGCTCTGATCCTTGCTCCCACCCGTGAGTTGGCTCAGCAGATCCAGAAGGTCGTTGTCGCCATCGGTGACTTCATGTCCCTCGACTGCCACGCCTGTATCGGTGGTACCAACGTCCGTGAGGATATGAACGCTCTCCGCGCCGGCCCCCAGGTCGTTGTCGGTACCCCCGGCCGTGTCCACGACATGATCCAGCGCCGTGTTCTGTCCACCACCGCCATGAAGCTCTTCATCCTCGACGAGGCCGATGAGATGCTGTCCGTAAGTTATTGCAATTGATATCATGTGTGTCAAACTGGTTCTAACTTTTCTTTTTTTAGCGTGGTTTCACCGAGCAGATCTACGACATCTTCCAGCTGCTTCCCCAGTCTACCCAGGTTACCCTGCTCTCCGCTACCATGCCCCAGGATGTCCTTGAGGTCACCACCAAGTTCATGCGCGACCCCGTCCGTATCCTTGTCAAGAAGCAGGAACTTACCCTTGAGGGTATCAAGCAGTTCTACATTGCCGTTGAGAAGGAGGAGTGGAAGCTCGACACCCTCTCCGATCTCTACGAGACCGTCACCATTACCCAAGCTGTCATCTTCTGCAACACCCGCCGAAAGGTCGACTGGCTCACCGACAAGCTCACTGCCCGTGATTTCACCGTCTCCGCTATGCACGGTGACATGGAGCAGGGCCAGCGTGATGTTATCATGAAGGAGTTCCGTTCCGGTTCCTCCCGTGTCCTGATCGCCACTGACCTTTTGGCCCGTGGTATCGATGTCCAGCAGGTTTCCCTGGTCATCAACTACGATCTCCCCGCCAACCGTGAGAACTACATTCACCGTATCGGTCGTGGTGGTCGTTTCGGTCGCAAGGGTGTTGCCATTAACTTCGTCACCGCTGACGATGTTCGCATGCTCCGTGAGATCGAGCAGTTCTACTCCACCCAGGTTGAGGAGATGCCCATGAACGTGGCTGACCTCATCTAAACACCCTAACTCTTGACGTCTTGATGCGGTTTACGATCGCAGAATCTGCGTTAAAAGTGGCTTTCTGCGTTTCCGCCTGCAGTGTGCCGGGAAAATGAATGGGGCTATGCTTCCGCATATTGAGTTGACAAGTCGACGCCCCGGTCATTTTCCCGGCCCTTGGTATGGTTTCCTATGTCTTGCACCAACGGAGATGAGAAATGTTTGTGCGTTCACCTCTTGCTTCTCCGTTTTCTCTTAGTTTTTATGCATTTCCCTCTGCTTTTTCCCTTGTCTGTATCTAGCTCGCTCTTGTTGGTTAAGGATGCTGCCTATTCTCGTACTTAATCAATAGACCGGGCCAAAATGTGACTTGTTCCTCAGGGCGTCGTCCTTGAAAGATATTAAAATCCGTATTCTGTTTATTGAATAGATATGCATAGTGTAACCGTCATTGATTCTCTCGTATAAAGTGTCAAGTGTCGCAAACTCTAGTGGCACACAAGCGCAATTCGAGCCCCTTGAACAGCCGTTGAGTCTATCATCTCGAGGCCTGGAGATTTGCCCTCGGTAGCCTAAAACTTTGTCACGAGTTAGCTTCTTGAGGCCCTATGCCATTTATACAAAACTTTCATATTCTCATAAAACGGAACCAGCTTATATGTTAGCGCTTAGAAATGCATGCCCAGGTGGGCCGTGAATGACCCTCCAGCTTGTCATTTCTGAGTCTTTGGAGTATTTTTAGTTCCCCTGGCTCTATATCTGCCACTTTATTCGTCTTCTGTAGATATGAAGTACTCGGAACATGTTCCGATGCCCGGACAAGCGAGCCGATGGTTGTGTCTTGATATGGAACCATTATACATATCAATTTTTGAAGAGAAGAGTTTGATGATATTCGGACATTTGTACTCATAATACCCCATTTAGTTCGATCTCAGAAGTTATAAAGTTCTTTAATCTACATAGTAACCATGAAATATATAAAATATATATATAACCGGTGGCCGAGGCTAACCTTATGTTCAAACGTAACCTGAATGACTACGCATCATTAGATTCTATATTATTATTAGATACGTTAATTAGGTATACTTCTCCCTATTTTTCACCATCTTAGTCCTCTACAGAGTGGATAAAGATACAAGCGGTCGGTGCAGAAACCCGTCATCTCTGGAGTTCTCCGCATCTGTCGGAGAACACCCGAACCTCCGATTAACCCCCACGCCTTCTTTTCTTAATTACTCTTCTTTGTCAATCGCATAGCTTCAATTCCCTCCAAAATGGCTTCCATCCGTGCCAACTGTCGCAAGATTATGTGCATCGGCCGTAACTACGCGTGAGTCTCCCTATATCCATCTCCCCGAGCCTTGTTTCCATCGGGAGTTCCGACAACGGTGTCGCGCGCTCTCTCCCTCGGTCACAATTGCTAACAGGATGGATTGACACAGCGATCACATTACCGAGCTCAACAACACAGCCCCCAAGCAGCCATTCTTCTTCCTCAAGCCCCCATCATCCATCCTCCTCCCCGGCTCGGGACCCGTCCTCCGTCCCAAGGGCGTCAGCCTGCACTATGAGGTCGAACTGGGTCTGGTGATGGGCAAGACCGTGCGCGATCTCGATCCCAACGATGAGAAGGCCGCACTGGACGCGATTCAGAGTGAGTACAGAATGCCATCCGGATTTGAATGCGCATACCGCACCCTACACCACAGCGATGGACCAAGGATATGGACTCGAACCAACAAGTCGCTGACAAAACAAACCCGTTGCGGTGAATAGGCTACGTCCTCGCTATTGATATGACTGCCCGCAACGTACAAGACGAGGCAAAGAAGAAGGGCCTTCCCTGGTCCATCGCCAAGGGCTTCGACACTTTCCTCCCTATCTCGCAGGAGATCGCCAAGTCGCGCATCCCTAACCCGCACGAGGCATTCCTGCGCCTTCGCATTGGCCAGACCGAGCGCCAGGCTGACTCGACTAGTCTGATGCTGTACCGCATTCCGCAGCAGCTGGCGCAGATTTCGCGCGTGATGACGCTCGATAAGGGTGATATTGTCCTTACCGGTACGCCTAAGGGTGTTGGGCAGGTTAAGGCGGGTGATGTTATGAGGGCATCGATTGAGGTTGGTGGGAAGGAGATTGAGGAGGGTCGGATTGAGGTTGAGGTGCAGGATCGCGAGGGGCGGTATGAGTTCAAGGAGACCTAGATTTGTCTTTTGGGAGTTGTATATTTTGAACTTATAGAAACTAGAAGTATATAGTTATGTTGTATGGTGAAATGATCATTTTGGGATTCAAGGCAAAAGCTGATTGCACCAAGGGTCTATGATTTACCAATATACTCAGGAAATGAGAACAAAAAAAAAAAAAAAACACACACACATGGAATAAAATATTGAACAAATCCAGGGAGCATCCATCGCAATATCTCTCCCATCAGAATCGAGAGAGGTTCCCTGTTTGCCAAGACATTGCAATGTTTGGCTCTGATTTCCAAGAAACATCCACCAATCTCCCGACTCAAACACCAGACCCCATCAACATGCAAGTCGCAGAGATCCTCTCAGATATCAATTCTCTCCGCGTCTGCGTAAGTATCACCCTTCCTTCTTTCAGAAGGCTGCCCCACGAACACGGTGTCCTGGATAAAGAGACAGTACCCCACCAGACAATATGGCAATGCTGACAACATGATACAGGGTCACAACGAGGCCCTATCACTGGTGAATGTGCACAAAAATATCACAGGCTCAGATTCAACCGAATCTGGTAGCGCACTGGCAGATAAGAGCCCGACAGACGACAAGGCCGATCTTCGTCGTGCAAAGGAACTGGTTGAGCTACACTACGAGGTGAAGGCGAGACATGCCAACGGAACCGTTGATGAGGAGTTGAGTCAAGCTCGGCAAGATGTCCAGTGTGTTCTGAGAGAGCTGTCCACTGTCTAACCACAGTCATCGGGACCTTTTTTTCGTGGGCGTTGAGGATCGCGGTTGCTCTTCTTTTTATTTTTCTTCCCTTCCCTCTTCCATGATTTATATCACTGAGTGCATGGAATTTGATCGACTCGTTTGATCCAAAAAAAAACCTATTGGATTGCTGTTGACTCGGTCTTTCCCACACACACCCAGCCCTCGAGAACAGGACCGTGGGAGCCCATGAAGCCCATGAATTAATGAATTTATTGCGTTTACAAAACCTCACAAATCTTTCCGGGAATACTGTACGATCTGATCATGAGCAACTACGCGTCCTTCAGTTGTCCGGCACAAATCTCCAATGGCCCTGACTCGCGTCTGAATCTCTTTATCCTTTAGCACTCGCAACAGGGCCGAAGACAGTTCCGATCCGGTTATTTTCGGTGCCGAATTGCGGCTTCCGTGTAAGCCAATACCTAGCCACTCTACTCGGACCGAACAATCGTATGTGTCGAACCACTGGGGCAGAATGACTTGCGGAACACCCGCCCTGGGAAGAGACATCAGCACCCTTTCTTCCATCAATTTGTGACTCCAAGAAAGAAACTTACTTGCACGCCTCGAAGAACGAGTTGGCTCCTCCATGGTGGACATATGCAACAATATTACCGTCTTCCAGAATAGATATAATCTCTGGCTGGATCCATGGAAAAATCCTCACTTTATCAGTTTTAACGAGAGGTGCGAGAATACTCTTGACCGTCGGGGAGTTCTCCCAGTCATATTTGAGTTTCCACAAGACCTGCATATTAGGGAACTCACTCATAACAGCCTGTATTGCCATTGCCATCTGTATTGTATCATTCTCTGGGGCTTGAACATGTGATCCAAGACATATCAGAATGGTTGGCTCCTTCAGCCACGACTCCAGTGCTGGATCGCTTTCTATAAGCGACGAAAATGACCGGACGATCGGACCGCAGATGATAACATTGTCTGGCACGTATAATGGAAAATCCATCTCTCGGAATGAAGGCGAGAGGTGCAGATAGGTTTCACAGTATGGCGCCATCTGGGGAAATGCAGTGCGGATTCCTGCTTTCTTCCGTATGTCCAGGAGATCGCGCATGGGTTTACCAAAGCGAACAATCCAGGCGAAGCAAAATACCATGTATATATTTGCAAGGATTAGTCTCCATGGTAGGGGATATGGATAACCTGACCCGGTGCTGAATAATAAAGTCAGCGAGATATTAGAACTCCACTCGGAAGACCTGGGTTGCTCACAGGGGGTATTTCCAAAGAACGGCAGCTCTCGGCTGGACAGTTGCCACCACGTCTTTCAAAGGCACAGGCCAGAGTATCACGATTCGCGAGTCAACACTGCGAGCGGCATCTAGTCCTAGATGCAACAGCGGATCTGCAACCACGAGGACCGGACGAACATCTCTCAAGATCTCGAGACAGCTTCGGTACGACAGTATATACTCGTCAGGTGTCCATCCCAGCACGGAGATGTTGATTATGTTACATGCATCGAGTATTCCGGCAAGCCCTGGCCGATGAGATATACTCGGTGTTGTACGTGGCACGATCTCAGCCAGGGACGGACCTGCAATTGGATGGAAGTGGATCACTTGGTCGTACTCCGCTTTGTTATTTATCGCTTGCACGCGAGCTGATAAATCCTTGAACGAGGCGATGTGGACTTCGAACTCGCCGCGCTGTAGGAACTCTTCGGCTACTGCAAGTGCGACGTTGGACTGTCCATGTTCGGGGCTTGTGAGGAAAAGGATAGGCTGTTTTGGAGGTGACATTGTGTGCTTTCTTTTTGCCCAAGTTTTCGTATGGGCTAAATCAAATAGGTTGTTCCTGGTCGGGGTTTTGATTTAAGTCTCTGAACACGCATCCCACCCTTATGAGATTGTGTTGTCGCATTCTATGAATACTAGCCGAGGTATGGTTACTCGGTGCTTATAGAATGGACAAAATGGGATATTTATGGACTAAGTTCCTTCATTTTAACTCAATGGGGAATGTAGTAGCACCAGTTGTCATATTCGCGGCTAATCTCATAAAATACCCGGATCGAATCCTTAAGCTTTAGAGAACTCGCTTGTGTACCATTAGACATTCTTTAATCAATAATAATAACTACTCCTATAGTAATGGGAACATGGACCTCAGATACGTAAGAGAAAATAGACAAACTAATGGCCTATATCTAATTTTCGACCTAAGTATCCCAGTTTTCGCAAACAGCCAAGAGTGATGGCCAAGCCGACCAAGTTCAGTGAGAACAAGAACAAGAATGCAGCCCGATAGCCGCCCATCCATGTCTCTGGGGATTCGTGTAAAGAAGTACTTCGGTCGGGGGTCTGGAGTAGCTGTGTACTGACATCGTTTGAAATAAGCGCAGTCAGTGCCATGCCCACAGAGGCTCCAACCATTGCCACAGTGCATAGTACTCCCATTGCAAGCCCCTGAGTTTCTGGAGAAAAAAACACAGCAACCATCATTGTGGCAATTGGGATAACCGAATTTGATGCCACCGGGTTCAATGAAACAGCGGGCAATGCACATTCCCAGTAAGGCGAAGCTAGGCTCAATGTAGCCATCAAGAGTGGAGAGAGACTAGAGAGCACTATTGCAATGATGAGGATATTGTTGGCTTCAACACGAGATAAGAAATGTCCAGTGAGCAGACTGCTCAGGGCGCCGGCGATAGGGATTGCCAGATATCGCCAAGAAGATTGTAGAACCGAAAGCCCTTGTGCTCGTTGGAATACGAAGATCATAAGCTGTGACGTAGAGTGAGAAGATGTGTAGACGAAGAAAACAACTAGACACATGGAGAGGAAATGGTAGTTTGCCCAAAGAGAATTCTGAATGCGCTGTGTGCTGTCTCTTTCCCAACAATCATGCCAGAATAGGAAGGCGACAAGGAGGATCCAAGAAAGAGCAAGAGGAACGAAGAGGCCCGATCTGCCAATGTTTGCTACATTGTTTGTGATGACACTAGTTTTTATTTGATCAGTGTTCCGAGAATATAACCAGTCATTAGGGTGGGGATACGTACGCTAGTGCAGAGAATAGGAGCGCGGTCAATGAACTTGCGAGCAAAGTTCCAGACCACTCCATATCTTCAGCCAGCTCTGTCCATGGAATAGATTCTGGTTCGTGGGGCTGTTGGGGAATCGTCCAAATTGATACTAGAAACCCCAATAGGCTTAAAATTGCAGCGCAATGAAAGCCCCATCGCCAACCAGCAGTCTCCGAGAGCATTCCACTAAGGATGATGCCTACTCCAGATCCGATATATTGACTTGCACTCGTGCAGGAAAATGCGAAATTGCGTAACTTCCCAATTGGAAGATTCTCCACGTGAATGCTCATTGCGGAGATGAAACACATTGGGTAAGCTATGCCGGATATAAATCTGACAACAATAAGCTGCGCGCCAGTCCGGGCCAGTCCGCTAACCAGATGGCAAACAGTCTGTAGAAAGCATCCAGACAGAAATGTTCTCCTGCTTCCTAGGACGTCTGCTAAAGAGCCTGCCAGCAGGAATGTGCAGCCCTGAGCAAGATAGTACATTGACATTGGCCTGTGGAGTTGTGAGCTTGGCGTATTCTGTGTAACCAGATACAAAACTGGCTTGGGTACTGGAGATCCAATTCAGATCCAATTCAGATCCAATTCAGATCCAATTCAGATCCAATTCAGATCCAATTCAGATCCAATTCAGATCCAATTCAGATCCAATTCAGATCCAATTCAGATCCAATTCAGATCCAATTCAGATCCAATTCAGATTCAATTCAGGGTGTATTATTATGGTGCATTATTATGGGTGCTAAGGCTCGATTAACTCTAACAATTAGCCCTATACAGATCATGTGATTTAATGGAGGCATGATTATGGGAGCATCATTATGGGGAATTAATATGGGGCCGAGTGTAGAGTAGATCATGGGGCAGATCATGGAAGTACTATGTGGCTGGGGTGATTCAGGGGCTGTGTTTTTTACTATGGCGATACCATAATAAATGACACTTAGGATGAAAATGACTGCCAAGATAGTCTCTACTTAATTGGGTTAGACCACTGTGCCAACAGTGCTTACCAAAGAAAATACGATTGATTATAGAAGTCCGGAGGTATGCGTTTATTGGCCGAGAAGCGGTTCTCTGTCTCCACATTTTAACGATCCTCTCTGTTCGCCTCTGTGCCAGGACATGTTGAGGATCTCCAAGTAGACTGATCAAATATTCCTAGCTCCAGTAGTCCTACAAAGTCCAGTTAGGAAATAGTGGGACCGAGAAGACAAAGTATTCCCAGGAGCATCGAGCTTAGAATGGTAATGCTTATTGGGTGGCCAAATAGCAAGCTCCATTATGGCGCAATTACTCCGTAATTGCAGTCATTTTACCAGGATTGAAGATCACATTGAAATGCCAGCCTTTTTTTGATGGGACGACGGGTGCCATCTAAGAGTGGAGGGCTGCACGTAGTCGCTAGCGAAAGCAGCTTCCACCCTTGACATTATTTTTCTTTTCTCGGGCCCCACTGCCAAGACACTAGTGAAATAAAATATTTAGCAGTCACTAATAAAATAACTGCTAAAAGGGGTTTTTTTTTTCTGGGACCAAACCGTAAAACTACACATTAAAATATGCTACAGGATGGTTCAAAACCAATCCCTCCAGTCTACCCTCTATTATTCTTTTTCAACACCTTTTCTAAAATATGCTATACTATACCTATTACGGTTAGGTTACTCAGCCCACGATGACTGTTCTTGGCAGCATTGAGCCTCTAAAAATAACTTTCGTACTGGCCACGTATATGGCGTGTCGGGTGTTACGGGCAGAACAACTTCAACTTTGAGAAACCCCGTATTTGCCCCTCATTCTCCACTCCCCACCTTTTGACTTGATTTCCTCGGAATCGATTACATTCAAGCTCATACCAAAGCATAGCAATTCTATGACTCAATCTATTCAATTATGGAAGGAGTACATATCTTCGGATCCGACTTACCAATATTTGTGTGGTTTAAAGAAGAAAGTGAGGCCGTATTTGCTCCTCCCAACGCCAAACAAACACTGAATATCTTAGGGCTAGTTGAACCCAGATGGAGACAAATTCTTCGAGGATCGAAAAAGAAACGCGACTAATCCAGACCCAGAAGTCAAGGAAAGTTTCTACAATATGACGCTAGACATAGGAAATGCGTTGGCATCTACGACGGGAGTGTTTAAGTTGGAATCAAGTTATCCGCGTATTCTTGACTTATGTATGGCACCTGGTGGCTTTAGCGCGACGGCCAAAATAGAGCTTCCTGAGTCTATTATTGATGCTATTACGCTTCCTCCCCAAACCGGTGGCCATGAAGTTATGGCTGATAACATTTGTCGGCATATTACATATGCTGATATCACGATGTACTCGAAAGAAATGATTTCAGATGGTCATATTCCTGCCGGTCGTCCCGACTCCGAAAGATTTGAAACATCCAGCCCGTACGTTGAAAACCAGTACGACATAGTGATTTGTGGTGGCGCGGTGGCAAAAGCTCATCTGATGGAGCGGCACCGCAGCGAATGCGAACGGTCGCTTTTGACGGTCTCACAATTGGTCTTCGCAATGAATCGGCTTAAACCTGGAGGTTCAATAGTTCTGCTTCTTCACCACGTCGAGTCCTGGGATACAGTTTGCATACTCCACGCCTTCAATCAGTTTTCCCACATTCAACTTTTCAAACACCCTAAGTGCCATGCTATCAAATCCTCGTTTTACCTTGTTGCCAAAAACATTGACTTACACCACGAAAACGCCATAATATCGCTGTCCTATTGGAAAGACCTTTGGAGATATCTCACGTTCAAGGAGCCTGGGAACCTCCCGTCGCCACGATCGATCCTTTATAAATCCGAAGATGATTTTATTCAGGGTGTACTGAGTGAATTTGGCCCCCGGTTTCTCGAGCTTGCTGGCCCTGTATGGAAAAAACAGGCCAAAGCACTCCGTCGGTCATCATTCATACGACCAAAGCCCGGAAGGCCTTAACGAGTCAAAGCGTTTCATGGCATATTTGTGCACTAGGTGTTAGGGATATCGAAGTCAATTTAAGTGGTGGTATCCGCCAAATATGGGACATTGAAGAAGAGGGAATAAAGGAATCAATTTTTTTTACCTAAGTCACAACCATGCACAGGAATAATGGGAGCTTGGTAGCAGTATTAGTATTTGACATTGTTTGCTCGAATGAAACATATTTCAATCATGCTTTATAATCGGTATATTAGAAAGTGCTCATCTCAGTAACAGTGGGGTTCTCTAGAAATAGAATCTAGGAAGGGATCTAAGCTAACGAAGCCATGAAATTATCTCAGGCTATACAGTGCATAGGTGTCATAACTGTTCATCTGGAACTTCACTGTTAAACCCCAGATATACCCTTCAGCAGCCAACTTTATGTACGCTGGTGTTTGTCCAATTATTTATTGCGCTAGCGCCTTGGCAGTGGGTCCCGAAAACAAGAAAGCTATGCTTGGGGCGGAAGCTGATTTCGCTACGGAGTACTCCGTACCGACTGTACATTTTATTGATGCAGCTTACTCAGGCCGCTCAGGCTCAGCTCAGACTCAGTGAGCAGATCAGAGCGCTTATGTAATACTCAGTGAGCGGATCAGACCGGTCAGGGGCGTGCTCAGTTGTACTCAGTGAGCAAAAAGTGGCAAGGTCTGAGCACTAATACGGAAAGGGAACGCCAAGAAGTGGCAGAGGAAATCCGCTACGTAGGTAGCTATACGTACTTGATTTCCCCTGCCGGGTGGGGCTTTAGGCGTGTGAACTCCTGAGGTCCCATGAAGTGTCTTTTCGTTGCACATATTCTACGTAAGTATTATTTAACGAGTCTACTGACATGATTGAGGATGATGTTATCATACTAAGGGAAGACGAATTGATGCGTTCTGCCAGCAGATGGTCACTCCGACATTTGCTTGGTTTTCGACTGCTCACTCTCCCAGAACAGCCCTTTCTCCAGGCTTTTATAACTGATCACGAGAACCACTGCCCACCGTGTAATACTGAAAGACGGAGTTCGCAGAATGTTGACCATTATTGGACGAAACTTCTCACACATGATTGCCCAATTGACTTTCCGAAAAGCACGGACTCTGAGCTTCTACGCCTACCAAGTGGTTTTTTTGGGTCGAACTCGCACGAGTAACCCGCTCTCAAATCGTCACCGACTCACGGTTATACCCTCAGCGTGAAAGACGACCTCCACAAATAGACGATTATATTGATTCCATATCTACCATTCCGGGGTCCTCCTCCCCCATAAACCTCACTCTATCCGAATTTAAGGTTGACCTTAACGACCTTGACGAGGATGAGCATGACGCTCGGCGAAGTAATCCCGAGGAAGTCACCGTGCATTTCCTAATGTCTTTTCTTCAATTCGCTTTAAACCTCTGTCTATTATAGGATAATAGAGACCGAGAGGTACGACCGCGGGTCGAACGCCTAAAAGCTACGACCCGCGTTGCTAGAACTTATAATATTAGCGCTGAAGATGATAGTAGAATTTGCAGGATGGATCGGCACGCCTACGGTTGGATAATAGGACCCCTATACTTAGCCTTTATTAAGGCGAAGAGGGTATTTAAATATATCCACTTTGACGAGTAGATAGGAGAATATAAGCTAGTAGTGTCAAATAAAACACTAGCTTAGTACCTTAGCGAAGCGGTGATATTATAGCGAGCAAACCGAGAGTTCCTAGGCTAAGAGTAAATCTACTATTAGGTTTTTGGCATTACTTTACTCTTCTTTTGCAGTTGTTAACGTAGGCTTCTATCTACAGTATCTTCCTCGTAGCGACGAATACTTTTCTACGTTTTATTCATTTCAAATTCGGCTCTCATTATAGTGATTACGTCGATACTGCAAGCGAGATGATATAAAAGACCCTAGTCGATAACGAAAATAGAGACACGTTTATCTATATATATAGCACTAAATGGTTTAACCTTCAGTCGCCTAAGGGAAGAAAGTCCGCGCTATACTATATTTTAGCGATAGTAAGGTAGCATAACGAACGGAATACTATACTTTTCCCTATTGTTAATAACTCTAGTAGCCTCCCATGACAGTGATCTCTCTATAGAATACTATAGCGATTCATAGCGATTAGAACCTAGAATAGAAGGTTTTAGGGAGATTAAATAAGGAAGTAGGTAGCCTGCGAAATTGATAGCTGTGCACTAGGGGGAAGTGGGAAGAATAATAGTATTATACTGTAGGTTCGTGTTATAGAATTCGAACTCGTACGCCAAAAAGGCAGCTTGATAACACAAACGGCATTTAGGCCACGAAAGGCCCCGGCGAGGCTCTAAGGACCAGCAAGTAGTACACTTTATATATAAGTTACGCACACATATATATAGATATGGTAGCCAGCGGATCGCATTTTTAGCGATAAGTCTAGGTAAATGAGGTCTACCTATCTCCCTACCTACTGTACAGTCGACCTCATATGCACAAATAGATAGAATTGTAGTACAGCACTATAGTCTACACATTGCTTTCGGGGATTAGGGTCAATCATGTTACATCCATTAGAGCATTCTGAGCTTTCTCAAAATCCAAGACCGCTTAGCCCCTCCCAGTGTCGCACTACTCTTTCTTAGATAGACTTCTATGACTGTCTGGCTCGTGCCCGTACCCAACTGTATCAGCCATGACAGTGGTGTTAGGTACATACATATCATCCATAGAATTAACTTTTCTTCTTCACGTTCCAATCTCTCGAACTCTTATTCCAAAACTCTAAGACATTGATGGTACCCCTTATATCTGTATCTCCGTGTAGTTGGAGGAAGAACATCGTGGAAGGACATCATTTTTGCAGCCGAAGAGGTAGAAACTCCCAAACGGCCTTGAGCTTGCCCTATATTATGGGTTTTATTATTAATTATGACGATAATCGCAGTTACTAATATACCAATATGGCTACCTAGGTACCATGGAACATGTGCACCGTCGTACCTAAAGAGCGCTGAATAGAGCGGCGAGCCGCCCACGCCCGAACCGTGAGCGCTTGGTGGTCACCACCTTAGACATGCTGTTGTATGTTGTATATATTTTTTTGTCTCTCCGTTCTAATCACTTACAGCAGGTCTTCATTGTTCTTTCTCTCCCAATCACCCATCGTTATATTTACGGATATGCTCGAGCTAACTGGCCTCTGCTCTAGTGGAGTCAGCTTCTATAAACGATTCTATAAGCATTAGTTCTCGTGTAATCGAATATCTCTCTGTTTTCCGAACTGTTTACTTCAGTATTCGCGAACTGGTAAGATACCAACATGTCTCATTTGTGCTGTTTGGCAGCAACATCGCTCAACAAAGGGGCGCAAAACCTTGAATAATTTATCCTCCATCGCCACCCTAATTGGAACTCCCACTCACTGCTGTCCAGAGTCCAATTCATCTTATGAGAGGGGTTTGCCAGGGAGTACAGAACGTAATGTGTGTCAGACCATCCATGGATGTTTTTGGGGGAGAGGGAAATGTAGCCGCGCTGAACCGCAGAGTTGGCTAGAGAACAACAGAAATTAGCACAAATACTATAGTACCACTGTTGGAATAAAAAAATCACTCACATTGACCCAGATACCTGATCATAGATCAGGTTCGTTGTCGTAGCGGGGGTCGGTTCGATTCCACATGGCAGAAACTGTCTTCTCGATAAGTTAGCTCCAATATCACTGAAAGTAGAGTGACAGCAAACCTATTGACTAGGCGAAACTCTCGACGAATGGCATAGCGAGGGCCACGGTCTAGGCTCCAGGAATACTCATCCGAAAGAGACTCTCCAGGCACTTTTTCCCATACAATACAGACCGAAAAGCCCCCCGGAACGGCATCGTAGTTATCTTGTTGAGCCTTTGTAGTCCAGGAGGGCGGGAGTAACGTTACATGCCATGAACTTCAGCTTTTGAAATGCCTCTAGCTCCGTGGGTGTATATATCGGAACAGCTTAATATGCTCCGATTTTGGGGTTGCTGTTCTCCGTGCCAATGGTTGGGATCTGACGATGTATTCTTTTTGAGTTACGTCGTACTTTCGGTAACAAAGGAACTTTGCTATGGTTGAAACGGGGCCATGATGCTCAACTTCCTTCTGGCTCATGAGAAAGGCTGATTCCTCGAGATGTTGGGTCATGATCCATGTTTGGGCAGGTAAAGAGAAGTATGGATCGGCATCTGCTGTGGTTTCACTGTCTTCCAGGCTAGCCAGAAAGGGGGTTCTGACCTGGTGCATGACGGTCTGATAGACCTTTACGAAACAGATCAATATTTTGATGAAGTTTAGGTGCCGGAGAGGTATTGGACAGAGCTTGAAAAATAAAAAGATGAGTGATGAGTTGGTGACCACGGGACTGATGTGGAAACCGTAGGCTTCAGGCTTTCATCCTATGTTCACGCCAGCACTAATGATTTGGTTAGCTTCAAGCACGCCCTGGAGGCATTAGACGCTCAGGCAACCGCGACCGGGATCGACTTCGAAAACAGGCGCAGGCGCAGGCTCGGGGTTGTGCTTGGCACTGAGACCGCCACCGTCGAAATTGATCTGTATGAGCGTCGCTGTCGGCGAAATATACCGAACTAGAAAGCGGTTTAGGTGCCAGGGTCCAAAACCCCCTAACTGCCCTTTTAGGAAGTGCTTAATGCATCCCAGGTTCCATGGGTATAGCCAAAGCCAGTGAGGTTATTCAGGTGTAAATAAATCTTTCAGTTTCATTTTTCTAGATAGTTCAGATGACTTTCTACATGACTTTCTAGATGGGCTTTCAGGTGATATACTATATGAATTATACGTGGATTATAAATGTGGTCTGGTCGGCAATGATGTTCCAGGCATTCAGACATGAAAGCGATTACCATAGGGGCGATTCAAGGAGTTTTGAACCCTGGCACTTAAACCACTTCGTACCTGTGTACTACCTTGCATGATTTTGGTGTGTACTGTAAACCAGCGCCAATTCTAGGTCGTGTAGAACGAAGCAATTCTATCAAGTTACTAATATGCGAATCATAGAAGATTATATCTGGCTGTAGCATCCAGTAGATTGAACAGGCTTGCGGGACTCGGTCTTCCACCCCGTACACAAGTGCCTCTATTTCAGCCCGGTACACACATAGTATCCCAACCATAGCGTCTGGCACTTATTGCCCACCCCTTTATTCCACGCATAGAAGTTTGCCAATGTGACACCCGCATTCTTTGCGATCTTCTCGCAGCTATCCCCATTACCCACCTTATAAAACCAACGGTAATAACAACTGGCTCAGCTGTGACGAGTTCCCCTGGAACGCGATGGAAGAAGGCGGGAATCCGAATAAGAACAGTCGGACGTGTGTGCCGGGCTGGCAGCAAAATATGCAAGGGTGGTTCAACGGTATCCTCAATACCATGGTGCAGGAGGTGACCTGGACCGCCACGAACGGCGAGACCAAAACGGCCGACAAGTCATGGGGGGCCGACTGGGCCTCGCGCGGCGTCTTGGGCTTGGGGAGCACCGCGAACCGCGACAAGGCGTGGAATTATGGCCGCGCGCATGAGAAGAAGTTCACTTATCATCTCTTTAACTCCGATTCCGATACCACCGTCACCGGCTCCAGGTATGAGGTCTTCAACCACAACCTCGCCGATGGCGGCGACAAGAGCGATATGGCTGAAGTCATTGGCGCCGTGAACACGCTGGGCAACGCGAAGTACTCCATCACCAAGAATGCCCTATGTCGGACTACTGGCACACATGATCACCCGTTTTGGCACTCTGCGGAAGGTCTTTATGTGAACACGGTTCAGTAAGTGTTATGGTTTCTTTGTTTGGATCCTTTTGTTTGTCTGACAGCTTCTCCAGGTGCACAGTGGTATTCGACAATACGGTCGCCCAGGCCAAGATCAAGCGAGGCGAGAAGCCGACCCAAGAGGATATATTCAATATCAAGCGTGAGTCATCCCTGAAGGAGCCCCCTTTCTGTCCATGCTGCTAACAAGCCGTCCACGCAGGCATCGAGATTGCGGAGGATGAACCCGTGCATGAAATATTTGTTCCATTTGACGATGCAGAGCCAACTCTGACGCCTCGGAGTATCGGGAAGCACCGAAGACACCGCGCCCATCATCACTAGGTGGCCAGATTTCTGTTGCTTATGTACAATAGAGCAGGTTGATATATGATCTTCTATAAATTTACTACTCATGGCTACTCCCACCCATTCCCTTCCCCCAGGTAAAACTCCACGTCTTCATCCTCATCATCCACAATCTCCGACAAAGGCTCGCCCTCAAACCAATTCACCGCAATCTGCGCCGCCTCCGTGGCCCGCTCACGCACCCTAACCGGAAGGATCTCCCCCCGGTGATTCACCGCCAGGGCCAGCACCCAACCCTCCTCACAGGCCTTCCGATCTGCAACAAGAACCAGCGCCTTCTGTGTCCGATCACTCTCCGCCAGCTCCTCAGCCCGCTCCTCCCCCTCAAAATGCCGCCAGTCGCCATCCGACATCCCCTCAAACAGCTCAGGGCAGTGCATCAGCGCCGCAAGTAGATAACCCGGTACGGAACCCGGACGGCCTGTCGCAACGCCGTCAATCACATCCTGGTCCCGCTGGGCATCTGCTGTTAGTTCCTCCCGATCCTCGAAGACGAACTCCTCGGGGATGCAGAAAACGTGGTTATTCTCGCGGCCCTGCTGTAGGACTTCCTTCCGGAGTCGGGCATACGCCGTGTCTGCGGCTTCTTGGCTTGTTTTATCTGTAGGATCGCCGAACCAGGTCCGGATCCATAGGACTGTCGAGAGCAGGCTGCTGATTGCACGGTCTTCCTCTGAGAGGAGGTCTTGCGGCAACCGCTCTGGAACATGATCGATGATTGGGTCATCGAACATGGCGAGGGCCCAGTCCTGGGAGTTTGGTCAGTGGGTGGTGATCATTGAGAATGGGCTGGTGGGGAGATAGATACGTTTCGCCCATATTTTCCTAGCGCGATCCATTTCTCAACAAGGATTCTTTTTTGCTCGTTTTTGGAGAGCGGGGATCTCGTGTCCCAGTTTGCCTGGGCAAATAGAGAGCTTAGCATGGACTTGCTCTCGCGGATGTGTTTAGAGGAACGGGGGCGCTTACTACGACGAAATGGTCGAATGGGAGGTACCCGAATTCGGGGAGGTCGAGGCCTTCTCTCATCGTTGTTGTTCTTGGCGGTAGCGGTGGGAGTGAATGACGTCGCGGTAGTTGGGGGGATGAGGGTGGGGCATGGCTGGGTTATATACCACTACGGCAGACTATTTGGACCATTTTTGACAACGGGCTTTCTGCCATGCAGAAAATCAGTAATTGGCGCTAATGGAACAATACAATACTAGAAAATTACATAGTATAATAATATTATAGATCCATTTCTATCAACTTTATTCGGCTTGCTTAGTTTTACCTAAAGGTTACTTATCCTAAATACCGCGTAAAGGTATAAGCTTTGTTTAGGTGTCGTATATAGGCCCCGTACGACTAGGGAGGCTATTATATTAGGGGAAAAAAAGAGGAAACCTACTTAGTTAAGTTCGATAACCTTAGGGCTATTATTATCGATCTTAATAGGATAGGACTTAGTTCTAATAGCTAACTAATCTTATAGAGGCGTTATCTTAACTAGCGTAGCGGCTACCCTTCGTATTCTATTTCGGGTACTATTATTATCTTATACGGAGTATCGAGATCTATAATCTTAGAACTTATAGTTCTTATATACTCTACCGAAATACCCTAGTATATAGGAATATAATAGGAATAGGTATAGGCTCCTAGTATAACGGCGTTTATTAGAATATTTATTATACTTAGTAATAAGTTCCTATCTATAAGATTAAATTAGTAAGGTATTTACGTATAATAGGCGTATACTTATAATTTATAAACCTCTAATATAACTAGTTATAAAAGAGATATTACGGCTAGTTAAGATAAGTAAGGTATAGTCTTTATCGCTATATATAAAACGGGTAAAAAGGGGGCTTACGACTAGAAATAGAGACTATAAGATACTATCTTAGGAACTAATATACTATATAAGATTTTAATCTCTAGTACTTAGTTATAAGATTATAGGCTATCTATATTTAGCTTTAGTCTAGATATACCCTTTATAGTATTTAATTAGCTATTAGAATATAGTATTCTATCTATTAGTAAGATCGATACTACTATTAATTAAGCCCTAAAGCCTAGTAAATATAATATTAACTTCGTATATAAGCTCGTGACCGAGTAAAGCTATTAGGCGGTTAGGGGTTAGAGCGGCGAGAGGAAGGAAGGCTAGACTTATTATTATATAAGATCTTATATTAATAGATATTTAGATTAGATAATAGATCTTACTAGAAATATAAAGAAGGATATAAAGAGATTATCTTTATCGTATAAAGAGGATATATTAGTAGAGGGGTCTAAAGCGATAGAGAGTATTATTATAGAGGGAGAAAGAGAAAGAGAAAAAGAGAGAGAGAAAGAGAGAGAGAGAAAGAGAGAGTTAGTTAGTAGATAGTATTACCTAATTAGGTAGTATTACTATTTTAGGTAGTAATATTAGAAATAACTTTTATTAATAAATAGATAAATATCTTAATACTTCGTACGAAGATTAATAAAAGTATAAATACGCTATTAATAAATAAATAAATATCTATAAATACTATTCGATCTAAATAAGTACTATACTCTACTAAGCGGAGTTAGGCCTATACTTATTATATTATATATTAAAATACTTCCTCTCTTTAATTGTTTATATTATTCCTATATCTATCTCTTACTATAGCTGCCCCTCTTAGTACTCTTATTCGTACGACTTATAATCCTATAATTAAAGCTCCTAACTCTACGGCCCTCTTTAGGATTATTTATAGAGTAACTACCGCGGATAGTCCTAGACTAAATTATACTATAGTACGCCTTACCTATACTAGTAACCTCGCTCTCTATAAGTTTTATTATATACTAGAATAACGATAAGTATAGGCGTTCCTATTGTGACGATCTGAGAGAGGAATTCTACCGGTTGACTCCGCCTACTGGACTTTCTAGCTAGAATGTCTGACCTCGGTCAGAAAGAGATTCTGTCGGTTGACTCCGCCTATAGAGATTTCTGGCAGAGGATTCCGCCTAGGTTCGATGTTTGTATTCCTCTAGTATTTATAGGACCTATACCCTATAACGATATTAATAGTCCTATCTATAGATTTCTTTCTTCCTTTCTTTTTTCCCTCCTATACTTAATATTCTCGTTAAATACACTCTTTTTGTTTAAAGAACTAGCTGGTAATACCTATCGTATAAATTCTTTATAAAAAGAATACGAACTAGATGTTACGTCTTATACTATATAAAGTAAGGTATAGAACCCGCCTAGACCCGAGATAGTACCTTTAAGATAGACCTTCGGAGGTCTTCGGGGACCTACGTAGATATATTAATAGCCTACGAGATATATAGGTCTAATATATATAATCTCGCTTAGGCTACGTATATTATATAACTAGTAGATTTAGAACTATAGATAAAGGTTTATAGTTTAGTTTAAATATATACGTAGTACTAGTTATAATTACTTTATAATAGTATTTTATATTATATATACCCTTAGTACTCTAATTATACTTTTTATAAGATCTTTTATAGTAGGTCTTTATATTCTAAACTATCTTATTTTTAATCGGACTACTACTAATAAAATATAGTACCTATACGCTAAACCTATATAATTATAGAATAAAGTAAGGAGACGCTAGAAGTAATTATAGAAGATAACTTCGATATAAATCTCGGTATCTCTAAAGATAAATATAAAGAAGAATAATTAGATTCTATAAATCCGACTAAGCCTCTTATAGAAGAACTAATTTCTATTATAACTATTAAAGATAATAAAAAAATTAAGGGTTTAAAGATAGTAAAGATCTATATATAATAATTTATAAAACTTAAAGAGTATCTAGAGATATAAGTATAGATAAAAAAATATATAACGAAATTAAATATAAAAGCTAAGCTAAATATTTCTTTAATAAGAATAATATCGTTAGTAAATATAAATCTTAATAATAATAAGAAAAAAGATAATAAAATAAGCTTTAGAGTCTTTTTAATATATTATATATTAAATATAAGATATTCTTTATATCTAATAAATATTATAAAATACTCTAGAAAAATACTCTAAGAATATAAGATATAATAAACGCGCCTAAATAATTACTTTAGCTAATATCTATATTATTTTAAAGATAATACTATAAAAATAGATAAAGAGGTCGAGATCTTTAATAATAATATAATAATAATATAGGAATCCTATATTATTAAATCTAAAATACTAAAAATCTATATAAAGTTTATCTAGTTCCTATAATATATAATAGATAACCCTTAGATTATTTATTAAAAAATAGAGGAATAATAAATATATTATTAATAGAGACTAGGCTAATTAATTATAGTATATTTATTATATATCGATTAGATAGTAAAAAACCTATATATCCTATTATTAGAGAATATATATAAAATATATCTAAGTATAAATATAATTAATAATATTAAAGTAAAAGATTATAAATAAATTAAAATAAATCTAAATTATTTATATATTAATCTCTTAGATTACTTATAAACTATTAAATTAAATCTAAATTTATAGAAAAAGACTTTAAAATTAAGTTAATCTATCTTAAAAAAATAAGATAAAAAAGATAAATAATCCTTTATAAAAATATAAGATATAAAGGAAATCTTATAATCTATATATAAAAAACCGGAAAAGAAATATAAGAATATAACTTAATCTTAAAATTCGACTAATTAATTTATAAAAATTTATAAATAGATTAAAAAGAAGCTTTATAGTAGTATTATAGTATATAAAATAATGATAATTTTAAAAGAATTATAGTAAAGGATTATACATAAGATCTATTATAAAATATAAAATATATTTTAGTATATCTATAGATAGATCTAGTAAGATCTATAAGACTAGAAGTAATATAAGAAGAAGCCTTATTAAAAGAATATATAGATTTTATAAATATATTTAATCTTATAAAAATAGGGATCTTAATATTATATTTAAAAATAGATTATATAATTAATCTTAAGAGAGATATATAATCTTTATAGAAACCTATATATCTATTATCTAAAGAATAACTTTAGATATTAAAGAAATATATTAAAAAAGCTATAAATAAGAGATAGATCTAATCTTTATAAAGTTTTATAAAAACGCTAATACTTTTTATATCTAAAAAGAATAAAAGATTAAGATTATATATTAATTATAAAAGACTAAATAAGATTATTATTAAGAATCGATATCTATTATTATTAATAGGAAAGTTATTAAATCGTTTTATAAAAGCTAAGATTTATAGCTAGTTCGATCTTTTAAATATATACTACTACTTATATATAAAAATAAGAGATAAATAGAAGATAATATTTTATATAAAATATAAGCTTTTTAAATATAAGATTATATTATTTAGATTTTTTAATATATTAATAATCTTCTAATAATATATTAATAAAGTCTTTATAGACTTTATAAATATCTTTATAATTATTTATTTAAATAATATTCTAATATTCTTATTTAATATAAAAGATTATATAAAATATATTTAAAAGATTTTTATAAGACTCTATAAATATAAGCTCTATATAAAAAGATTAAAATATATATTCTATATTATAAGAATAAAATTCTTTAGCTTTATTATTATATTAAAAGATATATAAATAAATTAAAAAAAGATAATAATTATTATAAATTAATTAAAGCCTAAAAATATCTATAATATCTAGATATTCTTAGGATATATAAACTTTTATAGAAGATTTATAATATTTTTTTTAAAGATCTATAAATCTTTTAATATATTAGTAAAAAGATTAGATATTTATAAAAAAGATATAAATAAGAAGATATAAGATTTTATTTTTATAAAAAAAATAAAAGAAGTATTCGCTATTCTAAAAAGTTATTTTATAAAGATATCTCTTCTAATCTATTTTTAACTAAATAAAAGATTATTAATAAAAATAAATATATTAGATTTTATATTAATAATAATTATCTTATAATTTAAAAAAGATAATTAATAATATCTCTTTATATTTTATTTAAAAAAACT